TCTGAATTTCTGAATTTTTTGGGTCATTGCTGGATCTTCTGAAATGGCCATATGCATCATTTTCACCAGTACCAGAATAGTGACCTTAAACAAGAGCATGTTGGATTGATTTTTCTGTAGAGGACTTTCCTCAAAATTAGAAAGAAATTTGGTGCTAACCAATTGCTCACCTGGCACACAGCTAGTCTCCCTAAGATCCTTTGATGATCAGGGGTGGGAAGAGGGGCAGGGAGGAGGTGTTTCCCTCCAGAAGGCATTTCAAAACAGATGCTGAATTTAGGCACACTGAATCATCCCCTGTAGGAGGTTTTACCTTTCTCTATGGACCAGGGAGAGGCTAGAGAGATTGGCCAAGTGAGTTGGCTGACCGCAGTTGGTGGTGTGAAATCTCTCCTTGCTGAAGCCAATGAAAACATCAAGAAACAGAGCCATCCACAACGTCTTTAAGTAATTTATTCGCCCTGATTCTCAACACTTGGTGCCAGCTTTCTCATTTGATCAGGTCTGAGTTCTCCTTGAACTGTTTTGACAGCTTTCTCTGCTTGATGGAGAAAGATTTTGTGGGGACTGTTTGTGTCCTTCATGCAGAAATTGAGATGCCTCTGAATCTTCTTTGTGATTGCAGGAATAAACTCCTCTCCAAAAGTGTCTCACTTAGATGCAGTTTCGCCATTTATTGTGTGGCTTTTTGGCAGGTTTTTAACATTGCTTTGGCAGTCATGCCTTGCAGTCACAGCCAGTGCTCCAGGGCCAGGGACCAGGGCTGCAGTGCCCATTTGTCCCCTGCCCCCACCTTCTGCTCCATTCCACCTCCCACTCCCGGCCCAGAGGAGAGGGACATTGACCTCTTACCTACAGTCCAGCACGGTGTTTCTGAAGCAGAGTTCTCTGCAGGATGCCTCTTGAGACCCCTGTGGCACAGCTCTCAGGCAGAATAAGATGCTGCTGAATTTTAATAGTTATTTAGTTCTTAACGGACCTGTAGATAATTTGCCTCTGTATAAAATAATTTTCTTGCCACTCATTGCCAACACAGAAGTTATAGGTAACTATTTCAGCCTTTTCTACRTCAACTTTGCCAGTTTTGCTAGGATTATTTTTTGTTCTTAACATATTTTTAACATTCTTGTTCTACCTAAATATGGAAAGCCTGAATATTGAAGCACCATTTTCATGAAGGCCCACAGCTTCCCTTACTGCATTTCTGTATTTCACAATGTCATCARTATTCTTTACTTTTTCCTCCTTCTTTGTTACCTATTTAGCTAGTAATTTCCAGTTGCTGATGAATTTGAATAAGCTTTTTGCTTAAGCTTGCTTGAGGAGGGAAGCACATTAACAATTTCTCTTTTATTTTCATTATATCTGCACAGTTTTCATTATTTTTTTTCCTATTTATATCTTTTTATCCTAACTTGTTTTGAATGTAGTTTACAGATACGTTGGGAAATCTTTTTAATACAACAGTTGGGTATATTAATGAGTACTTGCAAATCTCTCTTTGCCCACAGAGACTGTAATCGCATCACAGTTAATGGTCCTGACACAGCCAGCAACTTCCAGCTGAAGTGAAGTCCATAGTAAAGTTACCTGTGTGCAATTGCTGTGTAAGTATCATCTACTAGTTTTAGGAACTCTAGACTGTTTCACAATTGTATCAATGGAGCCTCAAAAATATTTCTCTCTAACTTCAATCACCTATAACAACCAATACATTTTATTTCTTTCTTGCATAGTAAAACAACTGCTGAAGGAATAAATCAATGTTTCCTTTTCCTTGGCCGAGTTATCCTGCAAGCTCCCTGTATTTCTTCTTGGCTTTTCTCTATGCAGTCACCCTCTATGGTCTGAGTCCCTAGAAGGTGGTGGCACCATTTGTCTTATTGCTTCTTCCGTTTCTGATGAGATTACAACCTCCTGGTGTTGGAGTTTTTGGGCACCTTGCCAGCTATACCATCTTGCAGAATTTATAAATAAGCATAAATTGTTCATTCTGTGAGTTAATTATCAGATCAGCTTGGTACATTTTTGTAATGTAAAATTTGAGATTATACAATGAAAATAATACAGTTGAGAGTAAAATTTTGTCTTGCATTTATCTCTTAACAAATATTTCCAGTCAAATAAAACTATTAATTAATTGCATAAGCTTGTAAGTGAAAAAAGCCCAACCAAATACATGATCTGTTTATGAATAGCATAATCAAGTATTTATTGATTTTTAGATCTACATGGGCATTTCTGTCATTATTTGTACTTTACAGTCAAAACAGAAATTATTGTTGTTCTTTTCTTTTACTAGTTAGCAGTTCCCTGCAGTTGTTTCCATGAAAACAGTGCTCAATGTGAATAGGAAAACCCAACTTAAAAACTGTCTAGAAAGGGAAACAAGAAATTGTATGTTTCTAGTGAGGACTGAWTTTTTTGTGTAATTTGATGTGTAATGTGTTTTCTATCTCTGTTTTGTTCACTCAGACTCGTGTCTTATAACGAATCTGATTTTCTGAAGGCATTAACAATCTACTGTCGTGTCTTGGGTTTGTCTTGTCTTAAAGTGTTTTAGGTTGATTCCATAGAGCTGAAGGAAACAGTAACTATTAATTGTTCTATCATTGTTTTTCATCAGGCCCCCATTAGAAGCATGAGAATATTTTTGTTTTCCATTCTTGTTTAAAATCAAGCCAGATATCAAAATCTGAAAGTCCTTTGCAAGACAGGGCTTCCCTCTTCATGCAATTCTCTGGTTACCTCATCATGAGTGCCCAAGATGGAGCCATGAAAATGAGACAAAAGTACAAACACTACAAAATGAATTATGCTTCTCCTCATTCTTGTAGTGCTGTAACCATTGGTAAGTTGTGTCTATAGATGGTGGATTTACAGTGATTTACCTTTAGCCTGGCTTTGGCCCCCTTTACCGTAGTACCTGGCAAGGGCCTGAGCACCTGGGCTCTTGAATGAATCGTTCATGCTGGCTTCGGAAGTAAACTTTCTCGGTGAAATAGCAGCAATATCCGGACTGGCCATGGGTTTCTATTCTGTTTGGCCTCAGCTGATATATTTAATATGTTTTTCTAGCTGAAGCTGGGCCAGGACTTCTCTAGCTTTGACAGGACGGCTAAATGAGAGCAGGGAATTTTATGTACCTCTTCCCACAGCATTCCAGTGACCAGGCAGGAAGTCATTGATCAGTGGGATTTAGGCAATGTGTAAAAGAAAGGTATGTGTGTGTGTCCTGGTGGCCTTTGCAGCATGTGCTTTGACACCACCAGCCGCTGATTCAGTGAGCAGAGGGATAAGAGCACACGCCACGGCTGGGATGCACCTCTGGGGTTGAGYAAATGCAGCATTGGCTGTTGAAAGCCTGCTCTGTAAGGCTGTGGGCTTCCTGCTAACGCCATGCTTCAGATGTGGTCATAGGGTGATCTTCCTGGGAAATGGCTTAATGCGCTGTCACAAACAGAGGGGGAATTCCCTGACATGGTGGCTCATCCTACAGGAACAGGATCTGACCTCTGGTAGATCTCCTAGTATTGTTTGATTGTCCCGACCTGTATGGTTCTTCTGTGATGTAGCCCAGGGGAAGAGTTGACAAGCCACAACATCCTTTCAGATATTCTGGCTGCACAGCGTAGGGAGGGTGAAGGAACTGSTGTGCCCACACACTGAGCCAGAGCTGTTTGCAGCCATGGTTTGGCAGGGTATTTCTAGCCCAAATGTCATTAAACTCATGCCTAGGGTAGGTTTACTGACCTTAGTGGAGTTGTAAGGAAAAAATATTTATTCTGTTGTCAGAAATGCTGTGGATATATAGAGGATTAAAAAAAAAAAAGAAAAAGCATGCATCCAATAAATGTATGTAATTTCTCTGTAATTGCTTTAGACCATTAAAATTGCTGTGGAGAAGTCTTCCAGACCTATACTTTCCTACATTGTACCAGGAGCTGTTCTAATGTAAAGAAATTCTCACTGCAGCAGTTYGTGTGCATTAACATGGAAGGTGACAATTTGATCTTTCATTTTTCCCGTGCCTCAGTTTCTCCATTAGGCCATATTGCATGGCCTGGGGCAGGATTCAGCTGTGCTGGGATAGACAGGAAAGGGGCTTATGTTGGTTCAGTGGCTCTGTCACTGCATGATTTGGAGCACAAACTAATGAAGTAAATCTGTTTTCCTTCTCTCTCTCTTATCTGTGATTTTCCATATACAAAGGAAATGAAGAGGGGGAGGCAGTGAGAGGTTATCATTCAATGTTGAGACAGACTGTGGAGAAAAAGATGCTACTCCTTCAGCAATCCCAAATGTGCTCCCAAATCTCAGAAGAGCTGAATATTTCAGCTGAAATAGTCAGTAATGAAATAATCTTCTCCCCGGATACCAAAATAGTTGTCCTTATTGTACAGCATCAACAGCCCATTGAACTGAATGGGGGCAGCCTGTGCAGAGCTAGTGTTTCAGTCTGTCCACCTGCAGCCCAGTAAATAATGGCAAGGATAGTTTACAGTTACAGAGGGATTGGAATTGCTGGCTGAATGGTCACAATCCAAGAAAATGTGTTTTAATTTAGCTAAATGAAAAGGAATACATCTGGGAACAAAGAGTTCAGACCATACCTACAGGACAGGAGATTCTGCCTTGGCAAACAGGATTATGGGGTAACTGCCTCCACAATAGCTGCTGCTTCACTGGGGCTAAGAAGGCTCAGCTGACTCTGGGAACCTAGAAGCAAATAATAGACTTGGGGATGGCAGAAGCTTTGGCAGGAGTATCCCTGGGCTGCACCCCCAAGTGGTGGTGTCACTGTGTCCACAGCTCAGTGAGAAAGWGGAAATGCTGTGGAGGACCACTGATATGGTGGCTGAGAATTTCTGCATGGTATTGCTGGAATGCTGTGGGAAGAGCTGGGAATATAAAAGCCTTTGTAAAAGTTMAAGTGTGCAATCCAGTCAACTTTTCTAAGGCAAGGTTTGTTATGTCTTTGTAATACTGGACCACAGCAGTGCAGTGAGGGGCCACTGCAGTGACTCAAATTCAGCTGTGACATGAAACCATCCTTCCTGACGGTGGGTAATGCTGAACAGGCAGGAATGGCAAAATCACCTCAGGGGGKTGCCTTTATAGACATGCCTAAGTCAACTGCAGGTAGAAACTCAGAAACTCTCTGTGTAAAGTTTAATTGTGATTATCATCTGTCAGTTCTTATTCCAGTTCCTTCCTGTCAGGATGGCAAAAAAAAAGTCTACATTTCCCTTGATTTGCTCATTGATACAGCTCTGCAGTGAAACAGGGATGGTGTCCACCCTTCAGCTTTAAGAGTCTGGGCCACAGATAGTGTGTTGTTGGGTGCCTCTGGAAGCACTGGACACAGATGGGGATAAATGCTTTGGAGCTGTGAGATGGTGCACTACATCTCTCTCCTTGGGAGATGGCTCCTTGTGTAKGGCCCTGCCTGTGGCTGCCAGTTCTGTGAGGATTTGCTGAGCATTGCCCTGCTTCAGAATCACTTGCCAAAATCACTTGGTAACATTGCATGAGCCAGCTCCCTGTTTGGGTATTTCCTCGTCTCTGTATGTGGCCCCAAGCAGCTTTGCTTTCAAAGGGCTATAGCGTCTTGGTGTGTCTGAACCCTTCAGGCTCAGAGCTGGCACTGCTGACCACCCTGAACAGCCCAGGAGCTCTTGCCAGTCATTCACCACAGTCTCAGTTTCAACCAGGAGAGCTGGGGGTCAAAACATGATTTGGTAGAAAGCATCAGGTCAGATCAAACAACAGGCCCAAATATGCAGTTTCCATTGCAAATAAGGGCCATGAGCTCTTAAAATACATGGAAGGAGATTAAGGCCACCCAGAGACAGAAGTCCTATGTTATTATCTCATCATCACCACCATTATTATTATTACTGACATTGACTTYGATCTCTCTTTTGTCTCATTTACTGCTTGTGGAAGGCAAGACAGCAGCTGGATTTCCCAGCCTTCCTTAATTATCTTCTTTCCATTAAGAAATGCAGAAAGCACAAGCTAAGGTAGAATTCAAGTCTTTGCACATTGCTGTATCCCACCACAACCATAGGCTTCATCTACAGATGAGGCAACTTGTATTTGAACTTCTCCAGCTTGACCTTGGGTTTTGGTTCTGCATTTTAGTAAGAGGGAGCCAAATGACATGTAGAGGTCTGACTCTTGCTTCAGATCTTCCCAGACCATGGGAGCTGCCTTTTGTGCAGCTCTGATCCAAGCCCATCTCAAAATATAACC